TCTGCATGAGTGTACGTTCATCGAAGTAAGCCAAACAGAACGAGGACCGAGACCGAAGGAGAGCCACTGGGCGAGCTCCGTGGGTGTCGACGAAATCAAAGCGAGTAGGATCATGGAAACAAGAATCAGCTGATGACGGATAACAGTGATAGAGAGATGGCGTGCGAAGAAGGTGGATGAGCAGCAGAAGCAAAGGCATCTAACAACGATTTAGCAGATGAACAGTCCAGGGTTTTATCGGTGGGCGTGATACTACCTGGTTGCCCAAGTCGGAGTAGGGAGTTATCTTAGGGGATATCACATCTAGCCCTTGGTTAAATAGCCTGCCCGCAAGGCAGCAGAGCGAATTCAGGGAATCGCGCCCGTGGGGAGTCGATGAGTGAATATCCAGTTATACGTCTTTTGCTTGGTCGACTACAAAACACGGGTCCAATCCTCCCCATGATATCAGCACATTTGCTGGAGTACATGTAATGAATACAAGTGTAAGCTGGACGAAAAACTAAATGGAGAGCACGATATCCTTGACCGTGTATCTCCTCAAGTCGGTCAACAGTTACTAGCGTTGTCCGTGACATAGAAATAGTTAGCCAGACAGTATATCGTGGTTGTCTAAAATCAAAACCGATGCGGACAATTCATCGTTGCAAACGCACACAGTTCAGTTCCAGTTGAACCCATTAGAACTCAAATCCACATGGAGTGTATCAGATGCAGACCAGCACACAGTTGGCTTCTAACAGCTCTACTTTACCAGACGTTAATTTTGTTGACTGCACTAGTATATTAGCGCTTGTTTTGAAGGTGTGCTCCGGACAAATTGCAGTCAGTCGGTATGACACCGATCCTCGTTTTTCACATAGCAGATACAGCGCAACAACCGCGTCTTCTCGATGTTTAGGCCTGAAAATGGGATAACTGAAACCTGACTGATGCCGACATGGTTTTACTAGACCCGTCCGTCCTACGTAAAAGCTGCATCTAGGCGAAAGTGTTCTTGACTTGGAATATGTTGACAGTATTGCCCTCATATGTGAGAGCTCAGAAACCTGCCAAGCGGCAATGGACAAATTAGGACTGGCTGTCGGCCGTTTCGGACTATGCTTTGCATCCTCGAAGTACAAAGCCTCCCTCTTAGACTGGCAGGGACCACCTACTTCGCCGACCTTTGGTGAGGATCAGCTAGAAGTTGTTCAAAAATTGAACTATCCGGGAAATTGTATCAGTGCTCTTGGGATCGAAGACGAGATCTTTTACCATATAGGAAAAGCTCGAGGCGCTTTTGTAAACCTGCGCTACCTACGACGCCAGCGCAACATAACTTTCTTCCTGAAGGAACAGAGTGTGCAATGCAGCCGTCCGTTCAACGCTGTTTTACGCTGTGAAACCTGGTCCATTAGATCTGCAGATATAAAGAGGCTAGTTACGTTCGACCACAGGTGCATTCGCAGATTGGGTCACATCTGATGAGAACACCGCGTGAGCAACGAGCATGTTGGACGCCTTGTTCATGGCACAGGAAAAGGAAATGAGCCGTTCAGCACCGTTATATCACACACGAGACTTCTAAGGATGAACCATCTGTTGCACATGCCCGCTAACCAAATCCCGCGGCGGGCGTTGTTTCCGCGCCGAGGGTGGGGATGTAAGAAGAGGAAGGGCAGCAAAGCGATGGCCTGGTCGAGAGGAATAAAGGCCCTTACTTCGACGTTGGTCTCGGTTGAAGGCTATCGGCTCCCTGGCTGAAGTCCGAAAGACGATGAACACGTTTGACTGGACACTCTTGCTGACATGGCTAGGAGCCGACCTCAGTGGCGTTCTTGTTGTGAGTTAGTTCGTTCCTCACCATTCCTCTTTTGCATAATCAAAGTTTTTGCCGCAAAGTAGCCGACTGGTAGCTTTGCGGAACGATGACCATCCGTTATTAGTAGCTCAGCTAGCGTGCACCCGTTGTGTCTTTTTAGTTTCTTATGTATTGAGGCACAGTAGCACAGATGTTTATTGATGAATGATAATGACCTACGTAAACATCGACGTATTAGTGACATACTTTTTTTAACCTTCGCAGTGATTTACATGTTGAAGTAATTGGTGACCCAGCAATTGAAGATATTGACTCCTTTCGGTGATGCATGTAGCTAAGACGTGGCGACAGAAGGTTAGTTGTCCCCCTATACCGTCCTTCGATATTCACTCTAGAAACAGACAGCTGCATAGCTTCTGCTCTAAAAAGTGTTCTGGAGCAGTCTGAAGCTCATGTTTTCATTGTGGGAGATTCAACTTTCACGCGCTGGAGTTTGCACTCCCCTTGGTGAGCAGTTTGTGGCCAAACTGCAAGAACTAGTCCAGGGTCTATCGCTTCATAAGCATGTAACTTTATCTACGTGATTCAGTTTGGGGAACATACCGGCCATTTTAGACCTCGTGTTTACCAATGAGGAACTTATGACCAACACACTTACAATGAGTATTCCTTGGGGCGCAGCGACCAAGCAACACCGTTATTTCCCCACATCTGTTACGGAGAACTCTATAACGGAGACATCGTAGAGGTCTGTATCCAATCGCATCAAGGTTGCAGGTTGGCCTTTTCTAGCTGAACACCTCGCAATGTCACTTGGTGGAATTCGTCAAGTAGTCCAACATATTAGAAACAAACGCAGCGGAGACTAAGATGCTTGACACAAGAAAGGCAAACTAGGGAGTATTAGGCGGAAACGGATGACCGTAAGAGATTCACTTCGGCGAACATACAAAGCCACTGCAAACGCCAAAATTGGGACATTTACATAACCTATTGGAACCATGGCGTCAGAATGGTCCGAGACGATAAGTGGAAAACCAAACAGGATGTAGCGAAAATTTCATATTCTAACCCTAAGCTACTTTACAGGCATACTAACTCCGCAAACCACATTGAGGCATCTTTCGTCTAAATAACGTCCGTGGGCAAGCGCAAACTGCGCAAGAAGTAGCTAACACTCTTAGACATCAAATCTCTAATCTTTTCAAGAACACACCGTCGCCGCAAACCCTTTTCACAATGATCGCGTCACGCCCAAGGCTTAGCCAAATCTCCTTCACTGCTGCAGATGTGACGAAGTGACTGATATCACTAGGCGAGTACGGTTCACCTGGTCCGGATACTATACGCAAAAAAGCCACTGTAGGTAGCTGGTATGAGCATAGCTGCACCGTTGTCTCGATTCTTACAACACTGTCTTGACGATATTCAGGTTCCAACTATGTGGATGTATGGAGTAGTCACCCCCATTTACAAGGGATAATATTGTGCTATGCCCCAACTTGCCATCCGATTACTCTTCTTTCGGTGGTTACTAAATTGCTGGAATTTGTTGTTGCAGAAGCAACCAAGGGATGTTTGCTAAGGTAAAATAACATCGTGCTGGAGCAACAGGGTTCCACCGAAGCCGCTCATGCGCCAGATATTATTTGACTAAATAACTAAACAAACTGTATATCCCTCCACAGTGCGAGGTCCAGCCCAACTGAATGGCTTGATCAATACGCTTTAAATGTGCACCTATAAGTGAGTTTTACTGTCACGTTACTTTTCATAGGATTAGCCACTCTTCTTCGTGTCTCCAAGAGGTAGGATCGATAATCGTAATGATGATGAAATATCAAAAGTCAGAGAGCCAACAGAAGGAATTAAGTATGAGTTCATCGATTCAACCGCTAATTACAACAACCTAGCCACTGACCGAGTACGGTTACGAACGAACACACGGCGAATGAGATATGCGAAAGGCAGCGTGTCTCTATAAGTCGCCCATATTCCAGGTTCTCTGTAGCCATTAGCTTTGCTCTGGACAACGGCACCTTCCGCGTGTCCTGTACATCACGTAGCATGAACACACTTATGACCAAGCAGTAGACACGGAAAACTGCGAGGAAAACCCATAGAGCCGAGATGATTAGGAAGGCACCACACAAAACAATGGTGTTTCTGTCTTTGATGCTTCAGTATGTGCTGAATTGTGAAAAATGCTCAGGATAAACCAGTAATATAGCGTTGTTTATTTTCACTGTCTTGAGAAGCGTCAACTACATCAGTTGAGGCAGGATGACTTTGGACATTTGAGGGGCCGAATAATTTCTGACCAGGAAGCGAAAGTAAATGACGGGTTGTGTATACCTAAGCCTTGATTCACTTTAAGACAGAGTTCATTAAGACGAAAATGCTCTGCGACGACACAGTGTACAGATCGCACGCGATAAACGAGCTAGAAGTCCATTTCGATTGACCAAGTCTAAGAACAATATCTGCTAAGCAATGAACTGCAGTCGCCTTCAGTTAAAAGGGACATAGTGTCACAATCTCATCAAATAGCCGATGCTAAGGCGCCACTGGGATAACTTAATTTTTATTTGAGTCGCATTTTATACATGAAAACGCAAATCTATTAGCCTCGGTTTGTAACCGCCAAGTCATTACCCATCTCGCGGTCGAATAAAAGCGTACGCAGGGCGAGTAACACAAGAAAGAATGCTTACGTAGTGATGCCACTGATGTCGTTCGACGGAGGTTCGTCACAGCCACTCTCAACCAGACAGCTGCTGCACACAGCTTGGAAAGGTACTGGCCGGCCGTTTCCTCCTTACAGCAGTTGTTCGCAGTGCACGTCCCGTCTGTCCCCGGTGATTACTCCATCAGTCAGTTTGCTTGTAAGTCAGTCAATTATTTAATTAGCTGACAGAAGTCTAATCTGGGGAGTGTGAAGAAAGTAACGAAACGGTGCACGGTTTCGCCATTGTGAAAATTTGAATTAGTCTGTAACTTGGGTTTTGTATGTTCGCATATGCTGAACAACACATGAAGGAGAGCCAGTAAACACGCCGCTCTTTCGTGGTAAAATCATTTATAAAACGAACTATATTTGTCCTTCTGACAATTCGATGCAGCGCGTACATGCATCTTTGAGGTTAGTTATAGTATAACGCAGCTATAAATAAGGTAGATTTCAAGTATAACGTACTCCAACATGTTCCGATCGCATCGGCTGTCGGTGGAACCACAGTTAACTGTCTTCGGTGTTTGGTCGGGCTTTGCGTAAACTGAGTCTCTACAAGGTTCCCTCGCGTCTTTGCTTTCGGTTCGTAGAAGCAATCCAGTTGCTGCGATGAATCACATAAGAATTGTTGTGAGCACAGTTCACCGGACTGTCGAGCGCAGATCCAACAACAATTACATCCATCTAGAATGGTTGGGACACCTATCGGACATTCGGGTTTGACCTTCGTACCGTTACTCTCCCAACATTTGCACTGCCCAGGGCACTGAACAGCAGGCTAAAACCAAGTGACAACGGGAAAATAACGCGTACGCGGAACTGAGGAAGACAAAGGCATGAAAACAGTGCAGTGGTATTACTCTAATCCACAACAGACTTAAATTCTTACTTGAAGACGGCCAGTCATTCTGTTCGATCGATAATTGTATTATGGTGGTGCTACCCCTGGATGGTGTGATATTTCGCAACTTTATTTCCAGTCTATTATAATGTGCTGCGGGCCGCACCGTTTGCAGTTGATAATCAAGGAATCGTGCATCGACAGAATTTTCCAGTGCATAACCACTGGACACATGGTTCATAAACTAGAACTGGCTATTTCTCTTGCTGAGTGAGTATTTCCTTGTTTTGCTTAATCTCCGTGATGATGTCGACATTGCTTTAGGTGGTGACGTACCCGGTGCTCATAACTAGTCAAAAACTGCGCCCACATTTTAGCTGCAAGCTTACGGCTTCCAAAAGCCAAAGCCCGTGAATAGACTGACTGGGTCTTACCGAATGTTATACTAAGGGGTATAAAAGTTGCATTGTTATTGTTACACCAAGTCATCCGGTGTCATAAAAGTACAACGTCGTCCCACACCCCTTACCGTGAACTTGACTTTCATCCACTGATCTACTGTGGCTCATATGCATCAAGCCGCCGACTATGCGAGGTGGCCTGTCTGACACCACTCTTAACCTAACTTGTCGGCTGTCTTGCCTGTTTCATGTGAGTTGACATCTGGTCAATATACTGTCCGGTGCGGTGAAAACCTTTTTTTCTGATGGCTCTACGCCCCATTCATCGCGATTAGAATAGTTATCAGGATCGTTAGCGAGACTTGTAATCATGACCAGTAATTTATCTTCCATCCAATCATCTGTGTCGAAATCTCGGAAATATTTACTCCCGTGTTGTCTCGGAAAGTAAGCATAGACTTTCTTCCTTCAGGTGCGCTTCTTGGTCGTATCTCGATCGTATAAAACAAAGCTCGAATACAAAACGGTGGACACAAATTGGACAATTTGTTGTCACCAGTAAGAGAAGACTGTGAGGAATAAAATAAGCCAGCTGATTAAGATGCAATGCCTGAGTTACGGAGTAAATCACTTGTGGACTCTAATTCATAACATATACGGATGAGTGGCACAGCTTTTCCCGCGGACGCCATTCTAGGACATCAAGGTTGGAATAAATGGATGAAGTTACACTTCCAGGGGAGTAGATACTTGCTCGGAAGTCTAGGGCATCAAAAGCAATGCATAGATCGGAGTATCTGTTTCCTCCGTCCATTCCATAGCAGCTGATATCACGAAACTGAAACTTTTACTCGATGCACTTTGTATTTTTAAGTATTCATCCCGATATTTCACAAGCTACGTAGCACAGCCTAGTCCGGAAAAGTGCCAGACGCGTTTCGCCCTATTGGGGCTCGTCAGTGGCGCGCATCCCCTCGGTCCTCTAAGGAGGACCGAACCCATGATCGCTAGAGGCAGATGCCAACTAGCCAGCAGCTTAAGCCACTGAGCCAAGGGGGACTTTTGCTGGGCTACACAAGTTGCAAACTAACTCTATTTTGGTCCGTAGGCATGGCCGGTGTGAGGTGAACTAGCTTGTGTCGCATTCGCATTGCTGGGTTGCACCAATTAGTTTTATCGATCAACTGCAACCGATTGCTAACGTCCCCGCGCGTTATGCTCAACAATGTATGCGATTTCCAGTTGGTTGGATGCCGTGAAACAAAGCCCTGGCCAGCGAGGTAACAATCGGTCCACCGGTGCAGTCGCATAATTAGGGCGCACACCAGTCACCCGGCTAAACATGTGTCGGAAAGCCAATGGACAAAGCAGCCTGCGTAACAACTGGGCCAGCAACAAGTTGCACTCGGACAAGGCTGCAGTTCGGTTATGTACACACTGTCACATCACACATCAGTGTTGGTCACATTGTGCCTGTGGTAAGTCAGCTACAAAGGGAAGAGGAACCGCGATACGCATCTACGTGGACACATGCAGCCGTACTTTAGTATTGCGAAATGTGACACGCCAATCGGTGGAAGGAAGAAGACAAATTCGGTTTTTGACTTCTTTAGTTTTACGAAAATTGTGATCTATTCGGCTCCGGATCAATAGGTCTAAAAAGCTCACGACATCAGTTTATCCTAATGTGAAGCGCATAAAGTACACCGACCAGTTTAGCCATTGCGAACTGGTTAAGAGTAGCTATACTAGTGTCTCTGAAAGGAATTCATCATTAATTTTCTCCGCAGTCTGACATAGAGCTTCTTTCTTCTTTTGTTTTCACTAAATCCCGACTGCTCGAGAGACTGTTTCTTGCTACCACTAGTTGACATCTTCCGGCATACATACATCAGGGATATTGTGCATGATACATTGAAAGAGATCAAACAGAAAGGACGTTTAGCTTCCTTTTAAGGGATAGCGCCTACATAGCAATACCCACCTAGTGCGGTGTGAAATGTATGGCGAATAGAGCGTGTATAATGCTTTATACGCATAAATAAATAAGTTTTATTCCAGACTATGTGAAACACGCCATTGGAGGCATGATTGTAACTTATTACCATGACCAATCGACATTTTTGTCAAAGCAAACACAATAAGCTCCACTTATGTTATAGCGTTTTTACTGCTCAAAATCCCGAAAGATTTCGTTAGCTGTGGAACGAAACTGTCATCCATCATGCATAGTTGTTTGGCTAGTAGCAAGCAACGGCCGCGTTAGTTTCAGCCTATCCACACGAGCAAGTGATGGGTGGAAGGGACAGTCGGATGAGGGCGTGAGTGCTTACCAGGCGGATCTCGTGCCGACTACCGGAGTTAGGGGACACGTGAACGACTCTGCAAGTTGGGTCTGGATGCGAACTGATGTGGGAATACATACACTTTCATAATTTCTAACGGGATTGAAATTGTTCTTTCAGGATGGTAAACAAATAAAACAACCTGCTTGTCATATCCTGCCTTGAGTGTGTCTAATGTGATACCATCACTTTAACAACCAGTTCACTAGTGGTAAACTGAAGCTAGACCACAGTAAAAGCTTGATTCCTTACAGAGAAAGTTATCGACTGCACACACATACAAGTTTGTAGGCCACATCTTGCACGCGATGGACCAAAAGCGAGACATTGGGTCACTAAGGCAGACGGTCCTCGGTTGCTCAAAACGATCAGAGATGCCAAAAAACGGGAACCAACAAGTTAGTCTTTTGAAGACATTTGGAAGGCTTGACGCATTTGTCTGCCTACAGTTGCTTAATATATACTTGCGGTCCCATATAGAATAGGCTATGCATGCCGAAAGGAGCAAGATCTCGCCGTGCTCGAGATTGCAAAGCAAAAAACCACCCACCACGTCAAGGGAACGTCCCACTTTCGTTATAAACCCATACCGAGGACCCTTAACTTATATAGTGATCAGTAACGCGGTATGCGGGATGAGCTAATAGTGACCTACCAGATTCGGAGGCACCCAAACTACGTCTGCTGCCACCTTATGCAACACAGCCAAAGGATGAACCTGAGAGGCCACCGGTTTAAGTTGGGCACGTTTGACAGTAGGATGAGCTGTCGCCGGAACATTACTCTTTTCGTGTGTCAGCTAGGGAACGCCATCCTAATTACGTCGTTTCTGTCCCTACAATATTTGTGTTCAAAAATGTATTGACGTTGATCTGACCCAACCATGTTAGTAAGCATAGCCAGTGTAGATCGTGAGTTGACGTGAGAAAAGGTGCACCAGTCAGCATTGCTCTGACAACATTCGAGGTAGACTATTCTATGCATGCCTCAGTTCGAGCAATATGGTGAGTTCACCAATACGTTTTTTAATTTTACTACCGTGTTCACTTCTTTCATTTGGAGGTTCTCATTCTGACCACGCCACTGGACTTGTTGAGCCCTTTTTTTTCTGTAAAACCCCAATGTTCCATATACTTTGAGAGAACCATGGTTTATTGGTTATAACAGAAAGCCGAGTGAATGCGTTGACTTCTGCCGGTTTTCATAACCCATTCGCATTATGCAGAATAGTCCTCATTCTGGTCAGCACGTTCGTTCACCTCACATGTTTGGCCTACGCAACAACTCGTTTTCGCCATCTTATCGATGGTATCTTTTTTGTTGTGTGTGTTTCGAAGCTTACTTCTAAATTTGTTTTCAGAAGTCGGACCTGTAGAACCAAGGATGGTGCCGTTTATTGATTATCTGAAGGTGGATATAATAATATGTAAGCGATGATATCTACAAGATTCCATCGGTACGTGGCTGACGCGCAGCCTAGATCATTAAGGCTGATCATTGACATATCACCGAGTACCACACAGTTAAGTACCATGAACAGTAGCACAAAAGCTTAACAGCAATAGTGTTAATCTGCAATTCACTTACGCTACCACAATTTGATTAGATAGTCACATTGTGACAACATATAAATACTAGATTCACGCAATCTTGCGGTCTATAATAGCTGTGAGGGTAAACCATGGGTTACGGAGATCACTTATTGTAGAGCAATTGATTTCGGTTTACTTGAGAACGGAATAAAATTAGCTCACGTCACTTCGCTCAGTGAGCTGGGTATGACAAACTCATCAAACTCTTGTAACAGTCGACATGCCCATGTGCGAGACTCTGGCTTCAAAACAGTACTTCGAACGCGGGTTGACATTGGCTAAATAAGTTACTGCTGCATAAATCGTGGCCGCTTCGCTCACTTACAGATGGCATGGCTTCCAACGCAGACATGTGTGACAGTGGGATCAAGCACTCTACCAACATAACAAGCAATCTAGTGAATGCAGGCCATTTGTTACGAACCATTGAGCCTCACGAACAATGTGTTAGATAAACCATCCAACAAAGAACTTAAAGTCGTGCGGTGGCAAAACATGGAAAATGGTTTAAAAATGGGTACCGTAGTTTTTAAAATAACGCTGATAGTGTTCACCAGTGATCCACTCACCGGAATGTATTCTAACTCTTTGACCAAATCATTTCCGGCACATTCATAGCAAGGAGGAACATGGCTATCGTTTAAGGCGCAAGCAAGTATCCAAATATTGAGCAAACAGAAGTAAAGAACGCGGTTTCGAAATGTCATATAGGACTTAGCATAAATTCCATAGAGCCCCTTTGGTCACTTCGCACAGACAAGCGAAGTAGCCGTAACGTACGCTAGTTGACTGCGTGGTTCGACGGCAAACCAATCACGTGCAGCCTTTCTGACATTTATCAAGAGTATAAATATCATTTGTTAAACGATTAGTGAGAACGTAACCAAGTTACGCGCATCCCATGTAGTGCTTCGACTAGGTGGTTTCTTTGGAGTGCGTAACAGCCCCCATTGCGCGACAGTCAAATGATGTATATAGGTAGTGTCAGTTCCAGTCTAGTCTGCCCAAGTTACACCCCATTAGAGAGTGCAAATCATATTGAAGTAAGTTTGTAAAACACTAATTCCGCATATCAGAAGTTCGGAAGCTCTAGCAGACAAAAGACATACTGCGAGGTCGTTCCCCGAAGCCATAAGAAATAAATATGCTAATAATGCGAAGCACCGAGGGCTGCAAGCGTCTAATTGAAAACACCTTAGTACAGTAAGATGCATAGCCTGTAGCTGAATCATATGACGAGGTGGTTTAGCAATTGGTGTATAGAATGCTATAAATAGCGACCCGACTAGTGCTACCTTATCACTTACGAGGC